AAATAACCTTATGTTTAGTTGTATTCCTATAGCACTACGTTAAACCCTCATTTCTGAGCTGAATAATCATGTTTTTAATATTAACATCCAACTCCTTCGACTTTGAAGCTGTATTAGCAAAGTAACGTTTTAAAAGTTTTGAAGTAGCACTGCAAACTTTATACTAACAGGGTGTCTTATCTGTCTAAACACATGACCTCAACATAACAAAATTTGCATACCAGTTGGAACTTTGCCAATACTTTTTTTTACATGCAAATTTACATTTATGTTGTAATTTTGTGTAAAAGGCATATTAAATCGAAAGTTTCATTAGATTTGTGTGTTTATTACCTTCTGTGTTCGTTATGTCCAGCTCAAATTGTCAAGCATTTCCTTTGTTAGGTAATATGATCACTTATAGGCAATTTCAAATACTTTTTTTACCCACTGTAGTACTTTGTAGGTCCAAATAACGGTTGGTATGCTCCTACGTCTGCTTCATTCATCTGCAGAACTTATATTTTGTAACACTTTCAATTCACTGAATCTTAAATGCTATTAAGATAATGATAAAGGGCAAGGAATGGTGAACAAGGAATGGTGGTTGAAAATAGTTACAATGTTCCTTCGTTAAAAACTGCCTGTTGGAAAATAAATTAAGTGAAGGCAAACTGACAAGTAACAGAAACTAGGTATGCGATTGAGATTTCTCAAACTCAATGCACAGATTTTCTTTGAGAAGTCTGCCCATTGTGCCTTTAGAGAATATGAATTTAATCATCAATCTCTCAACAACAAACTTCTTGTGATTTATCCTTTTTCAATCAAAAACGATAACTAAAATGACCTTCACTCAAAATTTTTGAAACTGAAGTTTCTGCGGCCGTGACAAACCTTCTTCTGTCCAATCATAATAATCGTAAATAAGAGATAAAAATAAATAACACTCCTGCATTTTATTATTTAATCATTTTTTTATTTTATTAACATTAAATTAATAAATAATGTGTTGGGTGAACCTGAAAATCACTGCACATTTTCTCAAATCGTGGAATTAAACTGGACACGGCTATCCTCATTTTCTTTTCCGCGTTGAATTTTGCTGTACTATTGGCTTTTTACTACATCGACCGCTAAAATCACAGCTTCATACAAAGACGACGTCAAAAATGGAATTAAAATCCTATGAGCCTAATCACTTAGAAGAACGTATTCATCTCACTGAAATCTAAAATTCTATCAGTTCTATGCTGCCAACTTTTGTTTCCAAACTGTTGTTGCAAGATAACTCGATAAGATTCTCTACTTCCGCAGAAACAAATTCCAACGGGAGCACTATTGTTAACTCTTTGAGCGGCAGGAAAAGACAATTAACATTTTCAGCAAAATTCTTGCTTTATTTATTATATCAGGTGTTACAAAGAAATTATTTGCGACAATTACAGATATTTTGTACAAGACGCGTGAAAAAAATGACCACTTCTGGTGGTTAGTATCAGTGACCACCGCCCACAGAACATATCCCTGCAAATCAGTCGGTATGGTACTCATGGAAACAGTTTTTCTTTTTCAAGCAGAGTGCAACTTTGCATGTGCTGCATTCCCACACTATTCTTACAGGCTTTTTCTTGGTGCTGCTGAGTGCACATAGTCGTGATGTTAGACGAATTGCTTATGTTTCTTCATTGGAATAACTGGTTTTTTTCACTCTTGGACCACCAAATATTTTGGACACCTAGCCACTATCGTATTCCCCAATGAAGACCGATATACACTGAAAATATGATAATGACTGATATTTCAACAACTTAATATTAAAAGATAATGTGAAAAAGGAATTGATTTTATGAATTTTATTTCAGTATTTTCTAACATGCTTTGCTATTTTTCAAAATTTATTTCAAAATGAATTACTTCCATGTGTGGTACCTTGCGTCACATTACAAATCACCGGCACTTCTATATGAAGGAAGTTAAAATCTTACCTGTGATGAAAGAGTGTAAATGAATATTAATTCGTGTTACAAGTTACTTTATATAAGTAATTATTACAAGTAATATTATTACAAGTAAATAATACAAGTTACTTTATTTTATAAAGAATTTAAATTTAAAACTGTATTTTGAGAGAATTTAGAAATTTAGGAAAAATATAAATGTCTATAAATATTAAATTCTGAAGAAAGAAAGCAAAATTTTGCTGCTTCAAGACAGGTAATATTGAAAAGTATTTTGCAGTGTAATATGCTTAGATAATAAGCATGTGATCACTTTTTTATCATACATAATACACATTCTTCATTTGCAAGTACGCTATGTTTTTATACAGATATGCAAATAAATCATAAATAAATCACAGTTATGTAATTTTAGCGTGGTGAAACACGAAAAGAAACACAAAAAGAAAATTTCACAGGATTATATTGAATATTTTCATAATTTAAAAATTTCGAATAATCCGAAAATATTTTAATACCTTGAACAGCGATACTGCTTATTGAATTAATAAAACATTGTTGTAGTTATCCGTTTTACTGAAAGAGTTTCTTTTTTATTGGAGTACTGCTGCGTTATATTAGTCATTCAAAGAGTAATGCAATGCTCGATGACATCCATTTATATCTTCAGTAACACTGCATTCATGCCAGTTTGTCGTGTTAGATTTATGTCACTTTGTTTATGATGTTATATGAAAGTCGCAGTGTGATGTTATATCAATGTCGCGGCGTGACTTCACAACAACGTCGCAATATAACTTAACAACAACGTCATAGCATAACTATATATAAAAGTCATAGTGTGATTTCACAACAAAGTCACAAAGTGACTTGACTCACAAACCAACGTAAAAATGTGACCTTACATGAACGTCGCAGTGTAACGTCACAAAAAGCGGTCATTAAGATATACCCACAACATTACTGTGACATTGTGATTGTCACAGTGTAACGCGTTTGCAGCGTCTCACTGATATCACTGTGCTGTAGGAGGCATTTGTCATATATAGGCATGTTCTGTGGTAGGCAGGGTGATCATATGAGATGTTGCTGCGCATTCTGTTATTGAAAATGTGGAGCATCCTGCGTTACGTTCTTTGTTATTGTATCCTTCTACTCAGAGGGCACGTTATATGTTGTTTCTGCACTGCTGCAATGTGTGACTTTATTCCTGACACTGATAGAAGCGTTTGATGTTATAGTGCTCTGTGATTCTATGCGTTTTTCAGCGGATATAGAGATGTGAGGACTGCAGTATATTTCAGGAGGCTGTTGATTTGCCCTTTACGACTCATTTGACACTGTTGACGCAATCTTGCAGCCAATATAAAACATTTGCTGAATTCCTGCTGATGCTGAGCTCTGATTCTAGGTTTTGTTGATGAAGTGTTGGTGAGATGTCGTGAATGGATATTCTCGGCAGTCGCCGGATTGTTGAAGTTTTCGTGTTAACTAGAGGCTTTCCTTTTTCGTTATTGAAAGTGCTGACTAGCTCCGTAATGTCTTCTTTGTATGGCACGAGACTGCTATGCCTCCTTTCTGGATATCGCGCACAGCTTGAGCTTTGATACCTTGGTCAGAGAGCAAGAATTTCTCAGCAAGGTTTTCTTCAAATCTGTTGCTTGTTTCTGTATGAAAACAGATGAGAAGCGTCCGGTTGGTTGTCTTAAGACTGCCATTGTTCTTGAGGATAGATCTTGGTGTCTGGAAACACTGTGTATGGTGTAGCCGTGAAGCTAAGTGCGTCGATATTTGTAGCGACTTCCTGAGTCTGGCTGATGTTGCGTGTCTTTGCTGCTGTTGCAAATGTTTACGAATTTTAGTTTCAGATCCTCTAAAACATCGCTAAGAAGGAGTTATATGTTGTAGCGCTGCGTATCATCAAGTTGGAGACAGGCTTCGTGGAGTTCGTCGCGTAGTAGTCTGTTTTGAATTTGATGATGTTGTGGAGGTTGAAAGATCTTGTGGGAAGCAGAATGGGTGTTGCAAGGAATCAGTTTCGAAGTCAGAATTACCACTAATAACAGAAATGCCGAACACTAATGATTTACTGAAAGTAAGCACAAATAATTAGCATGATGGAGGATGAGTGAACTTGTGATGGTGTCTTCAAAACAATGCTGAAAGAAGCTAAAACACAAGAAATCCACAAATCGATGGAGGGCAAATAAACTCTAGAAAACGATACTTCTTTTACCAACGGGCTCTAAAACTTGGAATCACGGTGCACCAAAATTCTTCAAGCACCAAAATTCAAGTCTCGGAATTGATGCGAAATATACCCTAAGCCTAATTAAACTTACCTATAAACAACACAAAAACGTTAATTATTTTTCCAGTCATTCAGAATCAAAAGTATATGTCACGCTAGATAGAATATGGCTTAACACACAAGAATACAATTCAAATAAGCTTATAAACACAAAATAAAAGCATTAATTGTAGAGCTCACCAATTTTCATGCCACACCCACAGCTTCACGCGCAAAACTAATTTTGTGAATCATAAATTAAAATTTTATTTTGTCTTCATTTTGTTGAACGGCTATTCATACAGAAAAGGTAGAAAGATTGTGACATTCCGCTATGAGGAGGAATAAAAATGAACGAGGCACGGTTCAACATTATCATGAGTCTTACCTTGCGGTGTTTATGCGGCGAAAGTCCTTACATTGGGAATTAGCATAAATGGAGCTTTGCTTAAGTCTTTGAGAATGAAAATACTTATAAAACTATGTAGATGGCAAATATCCGCCTAACATAACTATCCAAAAATTAGATAGCTACTATTATAGATGTTTTTAACAGACAAAACGCAGCAAATGTGTTACCACCGGAAATTACTTTCAGGTCTCAAACAAAACCAAAAGCCTTAGAATGTATACAAAAACAAAACAAATTATATAAATATGCGGAATAATTTATTATATTTTCACGACTGTCAAAATTCAGAGATCCATTTCTCTTATTTATTTGTCATCCATTTTTTATTTATTTATTTACATATATTTATTCCTTTTAGCACACCAATTACCAAAAGGGAAACAACTATTGATTTGATAGAAAAAGCATGGGCTAAAAACCCACTTAATGTTCAAGAAGAGTATGGGGAAGAGTATAAAGAAAATTTGAAAAACAAGTGCATTCGTCTATTAGCGGCATCCAACCCTGAAATAGACGAAGTCGTGACCTGCTTAGAAGACGCTATTATCGCTGAAGAACCTTTAGCAGCATATTTCCCTTGCCATTTCTTACACAAAATCATGATCGCACTCTTTCGTGCGTTTCCAATGGTAGCGGCTGAAACTTTAATGAAGGCTTGCCTTAATCGAAGAAATAAACCATTAGCTTTGAGGAACTATGGAAAAGTAAGCGAAATATTCTTTATTTAATGATATGCGAAAAAACACAAATGTGATAAATAAGAGAGGTTAATTCGATACATCTTTAACTTAGATCCTCATAAATCTATCGCGATTTGCGTCCTTCTCAAAATATTGCAAGGTGGAAAGAGTTTAAATCTTAAATGGATCTGAATTATTTAATGTGATCAGAAGGTATCAGCAGGACAACCCACCACTAGCTTCTTTATAAAAGTGTTAGTATAAAAAAGGAAAAAGAAATTGATTCATTCATTGTTTTCATATTTGGCTGAACACATTCCATAGCAAACGGAAGAGAGTGTAAAAGCTAAAAAAAGGTATCCATTGAGATTATACAGTTAAAATACTTACAGGATATCTATGTTTAAAGAAGCCTATTTCAAAGCTGTCTACAAGCGAAAACACTGATAAAAAAATTGTGAAATTTCGTGGCGGACTTAATGAAGGAATGAGAATGTCTTTCAGAGAAAAAAAAAAATATTTACAAATAGCGTCACCAGAGGGCATCATACTAATAAATTATATATTTAGTCACACCTTTACAACAGCTTTAAAATTTTACAAATTTTGTTTAAAAAAAAAACATGTTCTACATGATGGCAATCATTTTCAGCTACCATCTGAAATCTCAAGATGGCATGTTCCACGGTTAACTCAAATATGAGCTGGAAAATGTTCAGTACGTGGAATAAAACGCTGGCTTTAAGATCAGGTAAAATTCTTGGATTGTTACGATTTATCAGATGTTTCAAATGTCCTCAAAGCCCAAAGCTGCATGGATTGAGGTCTGGGGACCAGAAGGCCATACATTACGAAAGTTCCGGCTGTTTTGATAAAACAGTTTTACTTACAAAGGGCGATCTCGTAAACTTATCGTCATTGTGAACAAAAAGCATATTCAAAACAAACTCTCCGCTAATATTTCTAGGTTGTATAACAGCTACTACATGACGTCGACAAAGATTTACATTTTTAATACAGGTTTTTCAAGTAAAACGCTCCCTGTTGACGCTATTTGTAGCTAATTGTTTTTTCTCTGAAAGACATTCTCATTCCTTCATTAAGTCCGCCACAAAATTTCACAATTTTCTGATCAGTGGTTTCGCTTGTAGGCAGTAGGGTTCTTTAATTATAGATACCCTGTACATCAACAAGTTGCACGAGAAAGTCTGCTTCTTAAAAACACATCGAACGATGTACAGATATTAAGTAAATATTTTGATCAAAACTATATCTGCAATCGTGAAAATGTAGTGCGACATATTTTTTGGTAAAATCAATGTATGAAAAGATACATCAGTATATGAATCACTAGATGAAATCAGTAAATATGAAGATGTTATGGGGAAATAAAAACAAAACATCCTTATTTTATTTTACCATTTCAAACCTTTTCTACATAAAGATTAAATATTTAATTGTATACCTGATAACATCCTTCATGCTTAGAGTAGGCAATAGGTTTCTCAGACTCAATTCTTAACTTGGCTTTTGGCTCTCAGCAGCTTGTCCATCGGACCCACATACGAGTACATTAAATTTCGCTCGTCTGCAAATATAACATTCCTCCAATTTGATAAACCTTTTTTATCTCGGATTTTGTGAAGACCAGGAGTAATTTCATTGTTTTGTTGTTTACGAAGTATCTACTGTTTCTGATCTCCCATTGTATTCATATGTCTTAATAACTGTTCTAATAGTTTCAAGATTAAATTTCATTGCAAGCCGATGTTCCAAATCGGTTGCAAGTTTTATAGAAATAATTTCTGGGTTTTGCATGATTAAATCTCCGATTCTTTCCTGTTATGATTTCCTTGAAAGTGGCTCAGACTGCATTTTGAACAGTTCCATGAAATTCACATGATTTTATGTAATATATCAAACACAGTGTTGAGAAACTATTAGAAAATTTTTTATTTTCAAAATTCAAAATTTAGAGAAAGGTTTCACTTACTCTTTTTCTTTCAGAGGTTACAATTCCGGGATAAGCTTAAGAAGTAGAAAATCATGAAGCAGTTCTTGAAAACTAATTTTTGTGGGAAATTTTTTTTTATAATTCTTAAGATGAAAACGAAAACAAATGTAGCTACAAAAACACAGTATATCTACACAAAATCACAGAAGGTACTAAAAGAATTAGAGCTGAACTACTGTTGCCAATGTTAATAAAAAGAAATGTCTGTTCTTTTTATTTGTTTGTTTATTTTTTCTTTGGAGGACATTTTCGATGGATGGTTGAATGCTTTGCATCTGATTTTTGAATATTTTGAATACTTTCAACATCTGCAGAATAGTTAATAGTTAAATTTCGAATTGCTGATTGTAGCCTCTTGCCATTGTCTTTTCAGTTATTGAACTGTTAATATATTTTACTAATCAAGTAATAATTTTCAAGTACAAGGTAATTCTTGTGACGTATTTTTATTTTAAACAAAAATTTGTGCCATGAAACATCGTCTTTCGAAACATCTTTGCAGTATGTTCTTTCGCAGGCTCTGGGACAGAAAATTTTATAGGAAATAATATGGATCAGTATAAATATATAAGTATTCTTAGTGGAAACTTGAAAACATTTGAAGGAAAATCTGAAATGAAAATACATTCAAGTTCTATTAGGATAATGACTCTAAATATACAACCCTAAATGTTCACTTAGGATTATTATATAACTGAAGTTATCAGTATTCCTTCATAGTCTTCGAAAATAAATTTATCGAAATGTTTAGTATGAATTGGAGAACGAATAAAGTAACAAAACTTTAATCGAAAGTTTGATTATAACCAAATTCTTACATTGGGGCCAACTGACAGATTTGGCGACAATATAACAGGGTTAAAAAATAACATACGATTTTAAACCATGAATCCTGCATTAAAATTTAAATGAAAAGCGCACCTCATAGTTATAATCAATTGAATTGATCAATTGAACCACAAAATTGAATTCAAATGTAAAATATAATTCTTTAAACTTTATCCGTTCACGATAATAACAATAAAAAATCACATCGGCATCGAATTATCGACTTCGAAATGTGTGTTTTCACCATACATACGCATTCTGCAACTCTTTTTGTGGGTATAAATCAATTTGTTACTAATTAGCAATTCTTAAATGAAAATATACATTATGCTGAAACATGGACGCTTATTTTTTAACAATTATGAAAACATTTTTTTACGAAGCTGAACTTACTTTTTTAGCTCATGCTCCGCTCCTGTGCTCGGAATCCACTCCAATAGACAAGAATAAAATTACTCATTTCCTTCGTATTTCTTCATTTCTCGGGAAACAACGTACTACCATGTGAATAATTTGATGCAGTGTGCATCAAATTATTCAAATATAATTGATTTCATTGTTTTGTTGTTTACGAAGTACCTACTGTTTCTGATCTCCATTAAGAGAACATTGAACATCTGATCTCCATTGAAGTATCTACTGTTACGAGTATCTACTGTTTTGTTGTTTACGAAGTATCTACTGTTTCTGATCGAAGTATTTACTGTTTCTGATTGCATCAATTATAAATATAATTGATGCAATAATTTGATGCAATGTGCATCCACTCACATTTCTCGGAAATAGGTCGCAATCCATCAATACATATGTAAACAACACAACACTAAATCAATGTCCATTAGCAACAAGTGCCCTTAACAGATGATGAGTCGGCTCCCCTTGCTAAGATCCTTATACACCCTTTATACATTTATATTAATATAAATTGCACCTTATACATTTATATTGATATAAATTGCTTCCCATTCAGCAGATCTAAAGGATTTTCGATAGCGCACTTGAATTCTTTCTTCGTGAAAGCACAAAACAATACAGCCGCAATACTGATTCGGTCGTTTTCGCCGCGGATTGATGGGTTCGGAGTGATCGCTACGAGAACGATCGATAGCGAGCTCAGAATGATCGTTGTGTTTCAATTGAATACGAAAACAGAAAAATCAGTCGCAACTGATGACATATCACGACTAACGATCACTAAATGTTTCAACTGAATGAGGCCTTAAAGCGTACCTAACGAGGCATTGGATGTTGTGTTAATTTGAAGCGTTTTATTAAATATAAACAGCTTGTTCAAAGTATCTGAATACTTATGTGAGTTCCTTTTCAAGACTTATTTACTAAAGATTTTTCTTTGTTTAGCAAAAACGGTTTCGAATAACTTTTTTCAGAGCCGGCCCTAGGTTCCTACCGATAGTTGCCTACCGGCCCTCGGCGGCAAAATGTAGGGGCGGCGAAAGCAAGTGAACTTAAAAAAAATTCAAAGCATATAATACGATTGCTTGAATCTAGAAAATAAAAAAAATAGTACAATAAAATTAAATACACCAACAATTGACAGGCTTTTGGCCATTCCTATATTTTGAGTTGCAAAGCAGAGAACAAACAGACAAACTTCTAAGTTCTGGGCAGTAGATATTTGTATACGCAACCGCGCGACGCGAAGTGAGAAGTGCGCGGACAGAACATAAAAAAAGATTTTTTTATCCTCTTATAAAAAGGATTCAGATTTAAAACAATGTCTTACTTGTTTAACAATAACGTCCGCCACGCCCATTTGAACTGTGGTAGTGATACAGTTTATGTAACATTTAGTGTACTAGATGTGAAATGCTTTTTTGGGGGTAAATTAGTATTGTTTGTTATACCTGCATCTTTCACTTTCTAAATTCACTCAACGAATTTAGATACAGAATCACAATTTTATAAAATGGAGAACACCTTGGCTGGTACATTCCCTTTCAAAAGATTCCGTGTTCTGTTTCTGTTGCAGACTTTTTGGTAATTCAAAACTGAGTTCGTTTTTAAATAAGGATTATAGAAAATGGAAAAGTATTGGTAAGATATTAAGAAAGCATGAAGGCTTGAAAACTCATATAATTAATTAACTCATGGATAGAGCTGAAACGAAGGTTGGAAACTTATCAAGATTCAGCTGCCCAAAGATCAATGATTCTGGAATTAAATATTGGCATGAAGTAATTTTATATATAACGATAGTTATTAAGTTGCTTGGCGAAAGTTCTTTAGCCTTTTTCGGGGTACAAGCGACAAGCTTTATGAACATAATAAAGAAATTTTCTGAAGTTAATTCAATAGCTGGCTGAATTTTACCCGACAATGGAGGAACATGTTCGTAGATCGTCAATAATGAAGAAAAGACACCAACATATTTAGAAAAAAACACCCAGAACGAAATTATTGGAATGTTACATTATAACATAAAATCTTGTATTATAAAACAAACTCACAAAGCGAAATATTATTCGACTATTCTTGATTGTATTCCCGATTACAGTGAGGTTGAACAAATGACATTTGCAGAAAAAAATGTGTCCGTTGATCAAATCAGAAGCGGAATTTGAATGCAGCATTAATGACCTGGGTTTTCTTCCTATTGAAAGGTCTTCTGGTAAGGAATTATCTCAATTTTTATCAGAAAATTTGAAGAAAAATGAAATAAAATTAGAAAATATCAGAAGTTAAGGTTACGACAATGGTTTAAATACTACGAGACAAACTGGGAGTACAACCAAGAATTAAAACTTTAAATTACGAAACATTTAAGTACGTTGTAGTAGTCATTCATTAAACTGGGCAGTTAACGATATGGCAAAATCTTCCTGTGAAGCAGCAAATTATTTTAATATGGTTCAAAAGCTATATACATTTTTTGACTCATCGATTACCGTGGGCCATATTCTTACACTGAAATCATTGAGCGAGCCTTTACGTTTCGAAATAGAAAATACACACGATGCTTTATCAAGCATTTATGAAAATATAGAAATTAGAAATCTATAATATGATTCGAGCTGTGGCCAGTGGTTTGTGCCCGGACAAAAGAAAGTTAATATTTGAAGCTTTTTTATTGATCACAATAAAACTATTTAAGTTTTCATGTTCGATCGTCATTTGGTATAAAATTTTGAATCAGATTAATCCAATAAATACGTTATTTCAATCAAAAGATTTCGATTTATACCAAGGCACTGATTTAGTAAATAGCTCATTAGCTTTTTTAAAGAATTTAGTTCGGATGAATCCTTTGATAACGTTACCTTATATCCTAAAAAATTAGCTAACAAAATACACGTAGAAAAAAACTTTTAGTTGAACGTCGTCGTCGTCATCGTTTTTAAAAAGCTAAATTTTTCATATGAAAGTATAGACTATCCTATATAAGATTCAAAAAAAAATTTTTAAATAGAATTTTTTTTTTCCTTTACAGGCGGTCAGTGCACTGGAGCTGAGATTCAACTTATTCAATAGTCATAACGATTCTTTTGCGTTTTTATACCCTGTGCACAAACTTAAAGACATCTGTAAAAATGAAATACTGGCACCTTGTAAAGATCTGGAAAACGTTTTAACTGAGGGTCATTCCTCCGATCTTAACGCTTTCAGATTAGATGACAAAATAGATCTTGTTTCTTTCCTTTCAATAAAGAATGAAAGTACAATTGATATTTTTAAATTCATAACATAAATTAAAGCGTTACTTTAAGAATTTTGGTAAACCGGCCCATAATGTTACCGGCGAAAGATCTTTTTCTAAACTAAAAATAGTAAAATATTACTTAAGAACCATGCCTATTCACAGTGATCTAAATGGATTAGTAGTGTCGGCTATTGAACATGAAATGAGTAATAAATTTAATCGGAAAGAAGTTATATGCGTCTTTGCAGAAAAAAAGTTGCGAAAGAGATTATTTTAATTTAGGTTTCTGTGTATTATAACTAGTATTCTTTATTCTCTGTTGTTTTAAAACTATTGTTTGTTGTAGTTTAGCCATAACCCATCGCCTAAACCAATAGATGATGTGTACTTAGATCTACACGCCTTGCTAACAGGAGACTTTAATACACACTATAGGGTCTCTAACTGAATACTTCGAAAATTTTCTCTTATTCCATGTCACTACGTATGAAATGCTATCCACCTCAAGGACTTTATCTAGCTCTTCATTCTACAGAGCAGTATCTGCCAAAAGCTCAATTTTAGTACTTCGTATATGCCTTATTTTAACAAATATTTATTGCGAAATGTTACTAAGCAGCTAAGATAAAAGATATTTTATATTATTGTCTTAATATTGAAAAATGTACGCTTACTATACTAAATGTATATGAAAGTATTTTTAAGGTTTATCAGTAATTACGTATTATGCGATCTACAGCGTTTAGTTAGTTACTTATTTTTTTAGAGGTGGCACTAAAATTGGTTGCCGTTTTAATCATTTCTTCTTCCCGTCACTTTATCGCATGTTCCAGTTTAAAAACAGCGTTTTAGCAACGCCATCTAAGAAATGAAATATTCATTAAAAACTATAGATCGCATACTTACCGGTTTTCTTTGGATACTTGCTCGGGAAAGAGTAAAATTCAGAATTTTTTACTCTTTTAGTAAAAGGTCTGTAATAGCGCATTTCAGACTGAAGCTCATTACGATTTTTCAAATTGGTTTTAGTTTCAGAAGTAATTTTCTTTCTTTAAATGATGATTAATATACATATATTTCTATATTTCAGGAATCAATGATTAGATCTGCTAAAGGAAATGATGGACCTACTCCAAATGGACATCATAAAGAAGAATAACATTGCTACTTCTACTCTGTAATTCACAGAGAGACATAATACGTATACTGAAGCACAAATCAAACAGTTCAGTAAAAAGCTGACATGTGAAAATGTATTGTACGATTTTCAGAAATCAATTTAGAAAGGCATTAGAATTTCTAAATGCAACTTTTCTTTTGACGTGCTGGTTTCCATAAAAAAGTACTATTATATGCTGAGACTAAGTCTGTTGCAAAATTATACTAAGATTTAACATTACATCTAGTCGGAAAAACATCTTCAATAATGTCTAATTTATCTCTACATCCATGTTGTTATATGTTACGTTCGCATACAAGCTCTAACTAAACAAATCAAACAAAGAAGAAGACCTGAGTATTTGTTTATTTTTACGAAATTCGCAAATGACGTAAATAACTTAATAGTGACAGAAGAATAATTGACAAATAACACTGTAATTCTCCATGGAAAGATAACAAAATCGCTTACCGAGCAAATGCTAAACTCAGTGTTACCTCAATCTGCAAGCTATAGATTTAATTTTCAGTTGACTCGAGGCCTAACTCAGAGATAATATTTCTTATACTCTCGCCTAAGAAGAGGGCAAACGGGAAAGCGGAACTAGACTTCTTTTCAAAAAATCTAGTTCAATCTAACCTCTCGAAAATATATTTTTCAGAAGCTTCTGAAATATTGCGTCCGTCAGTAAAGTCGCTGAACACTGTTAGTTCAACCTGGGTTCGATTCCAAGCGAACAGGCGGGTTGCATTTTTTTTTTTTCCCCCATTTGTAATATGGAAACGAACCATTTCCTTTAAAAAGTCGTCCACGAAAGGCACCGCTTCCCGTAGGCAGATAGCCTCACCTGTTTCGCTATAATCAAATAAATCAAACGAAAACAACTAATATTGCTAAGATTCAGTATACTTCAGCAATTCATATCTCTGATTCCCTTTCAAATATTTTTAGCTGATATTCTTTATTTATCAAAATAATAATCGTTTAGAGATGGAATATAGGTTTAAGTCTACTTCTTAATACGTCATCTTTATCCAGGATCTTTTTACAAAACATTTATGTGCAAAAATATGTATTATGCTTTATTTTGAATAGTTTTTAGCTGTTGTTCTTTTTATTTACTCTGTATTTTGCTGTTTTAGATAACTTAGAAATGATACATTTTCCTTTCTCAAGTAAGGACAATGTAATTAACTCATTTACTGTACAGTATTTTGTGAGTTTGGTGCAGAATAACTTAAGGGGAGTTTGAGAAACGAATATGTTTATTGCATTAAAAATATTAGCAATATCATTGCTTCTCATAGTAAAACAGAATGTACAAATGTACAGCTTCTTGTACTGAAAAAGGTTAAGTTCCAAACTTCCAGGCGAACGAAGGTTTTGATTGAAGCAATACTTGTTCCCAGTTTAAATACATTTAATCTCTTTATTTAAGCAACTTTGTTTCTGTTTCAAGAGGATTACTAAATTGCTGACTTGATTTGCTTGCAGTTTTAGTGTTTACGTGCTCATAAATGATACTTAGCGATTAATTACTTGTGCCCGAATAATATGCCCCATTTAATTGGTTATTACGCGTAGCCATTATATTTTAGTTTACTAAATTTACAATGCTTTGCTCTTACCTTTTTAGACAATAAATGTTTATATGAATATGCTTCCCAAGATGGTAGAACCAGTTTTAAATTGAAATCAGCTATTTCTGAAACACAAGCAACAATATTGTTCCTTGACGGAATCTTTTCTGAGAAACTTATATTCTGCATATAAAAGAAAATTGAATATTCTCCATATAAAAGAAAATCGAAAATAAAATTATTCACTAATTTTTAAGCATTAGCTGCTTTTATGACGAAATGGAATTTTTAAACAAAAAAAGTAGCTGTCATTGATGTATAATAGCCGAAACTTACTTCCAAAATAGGAGTGACTATCAATGGAAATAGAATTATATTACAAAAATTAAAATACTTATTTTCATACCATTTTTAACTAGGAAAAGCCATAATAGTAGTTGCTTGTTGTTAGACATTCATTTTAAAGTATTTCATTCCCTCAGTAGATGGCGCTAGGGGTTCAACTAGTGAGAAAATTTTCTGGCATACGTCGGACCTTGAGGTCCGACCCTGCCTGATACTAGCCACAGTTAGTTACGGTTCATGTTCGTTCCGGTGTGGGTATATAAGAAAAGTGCAGACTTAGGCATTCTGGCCCATCAGTTAATTTTACAGCCACAAATAAGCTGTAACACTTATCAAATAGCAGTTAAATATTTGTTTTTCCTTTTCAATGTTTTAAGTGATATGTGAATCAAAATTTCAAGCGTAAAAAAATTAAATTGTGATTCCGTGAATCATTAAATTGTGATCCGAAGATCCTTTTTTCAACTGAGACATCAACACGAGTTATGTTTACAACACCTGTAAACAAAAAAAAAGATAATGAAGGTTTTTTTTTTTTTTTTTTTTTCCCCAAACCAAATAAATAACAGAACCCGCACACGTCAGTGTATGCTGACAACATCGATCAAGGGTAGTTGATTAATTACACCTGTAATTGTTACTCAAAAGTTCATTTATATTTTTGGAAATTTGACTGGTGCTGAACTTCTAAACGCGAGAACATCCCTCATCTTAACATTGGCTTGGAAATTATTTGCTGTTGTTGTGACTTATCTCACTTGTCTGAGAGTAACATCAGGAAAAGACGCATAATTTTTCGCAAACCTTTGACACGAAATTCATCGTGGCAAAGAGCCTTGACCATCATACAGGTGACAGTACGACTTCACTCAGATCCGGCCCCATTTTCATGGAGAGCACCCCAGGAACGGGTCCAAAGGTCTCCCACCCCTCTTACCCTAACACCATCCTCTCGATGAGGTCTTTCGGTTCGCCCCATATTTTAGACTGCCGCACTGACATTATACATTTAGATTTTCGGGATTCGAACCCGAGACCTTCGGTATCGCAGTTGGTCTCCTAACACCTATACGGCTGGGGAGCTGGAAATTATTTGATACTGAACTTGTAATATTAATACTAGGAGAATATCCCTATCTCAACATTTATATAAGATCCACAGATTTTTATCATCTGAATGTTTATCACATGATATGCTTACAGTTTTTTCAGATTGCAAATGTCTTTGAGATATAAATCTGCACATTAATTTCCAAACTTTTTTAGCCAGGAATTAAAAACTTTGAAATCAGTTTTCCCCAATGATTTAGTTGCTTTTCTAATACTTTATACAACAAAAATCCCTTTACAGAGATACTGTTTGCGTATATAAAATAAATGAGATAGGAAAAAAAAAAAAAAAAAAGTATCATATATCTTTATTAATTGGGTTGTTGTTGCATTTTCAATGCGGCCGATAATTCCAGAGTTTTTTTATTTAATTTTTTTTTCCATTTCTTCTTTGCTTTCGAGTAATTCTATGGCTTTCCAAATAAAGTTATCTGAAAATTTCCTTAAACTGGCTTTGTTTTCGGCAGCACTGAGTACTTCAGTTATTTCCTTCAATATTAATCTTTATTAATCTTTTGCTTTTAGACACCATAGTGAATAAACGATCTAAATAGGGACGAAACCACCTACACACGTTAACAAACACAACGGAAGAAAAAAATTAAAGTATGTATTTTATATTCACTTGATCTACTCTCCCTTCCAGAGTTTGATTTAAAAGTAGTCGATCTCTAATAAACTGTTTCGGGTAAAATTTTGTCGGTTTGCTATCGAAAGCCATCAACAGTCGCAGGCTAATGACCCATTTTAAAGGTCTACGGATTCTTTTGAAAATTCATCCCTTCGTCACCCCTCTAAAGGGAGTGAAAAGAAAGAAAGAGAAGTTTTTGATTTTGCCCCTAAGTAAAAGTACATCTCCTCTTTTAAGATCCTTTCCTGGTGATGGATTTACAAATTCATGAGCACTTCTCAATTGCATCAAATAATTATTTTTCCATTTCATCCAGAGTTGACGTAAAACTTTAGTCTGATATAATTTTCGACGACTTAGACGACAAATTTTCCTTTGTAGAAGGTTGACTGCCGAAACTTTCAACAAAATGTATAGGATAGCTAACATTCTCTTGATCAGGAAACAAAAAATGGGCTGGATTAAGAGTTTTGTGTTCATCTAATTCATTGCTTACATAAGTAAGGGCTTTATGATTTAATACCAATTCGATTTCCGCTAGAATGGTCGTCATTTCCTAGAAGCTAAGAAAAGCCTTTCCAAGGACTTTCCTTAAAGGGTCCTTTACGCTTCTCATGAGTCTCTCATAGAATTCACCTCACCATGGGATGAGGGACAAAAAACTGCCACGTTATTCCATGTAGAGCAACAAAAGTTTTTAAGTCCGAATCAACCAAAATTTGGTAAAAAGCTTTCAAAATGTTGTCTATGGTCTTAAAACTCTTTGCATTATCAGAAATGATGACCTTAACAATTCCACTTCTTGCCAAAAAAAAGTCTTATGGACAAAATGAAACTTTTCGTCAACATATCAGTAATTAATTCGATATCACGTGCTCTAGTAACTCCACATGTGAATAAGGCTATGTATGATCTTTGTTGAGTGCTCTTTCTAGACCAGTAAAATCAACTCCAGATACAGAAAATGGGGGATTTTCCAATATTCGATCCTTTGGCAACTGAGCTGTTATCTGTTTAGCAGGTTTTACATAGTATCTGCTACAAATGAGACAATTTTTAAAACCTTCTTTATAACTTGTTTTTATAACTTTGGAATCCATGATAAATTGTGTTATGTTCACTTAAAATTAATAACTTAGTGAATTTCGACTGTTTGGGTAACATTAACTGGATGGATTTCATCAATGACAAATCCGCTTTGTTCAAGCCTACATATTACGCATATTACGCGCAAAATACTGTTTTCATCTAAAAATGCGGCTAGCTATGAAAAGACGATTCCTTAGGGAATTGTGTACCACATTTGAGGCATTCTAATTCAGAAGAGTACCCAAGTTTCTGTTCATACTTTATCCAATCTTGTTCTGCCTTCAAGAGTTAAGTTGCAGTGTAAGGTCCTATTTTGACATGTTCTTTTCTAAGTTTGCCAAAGAATCTTTTAATTAATACTGTAATTTTAAATATCTTAGTTAGGTTACTATAATTATTCAAATCTAAAATAAACCGAGAAGTTTCCACTGAACATTTATTTTGTGT